GAGAGAGAGAGAGAGAGAAAGAGAGAGTTGCTTGGATGTTTTAGTTGGGTTAACAGCCGACTGTTTGTATCGTGGTGATAAGTTATAAGGGATTTGGATCTTTATTCGAATCTGAAAAAAATTCCCTTTATTGGGTTTTTTGTTTTGTTCGATTTTTTTACTTTTCGATGGGTAACGTCTTTTAATTCCATATTATTGTAGGGGGTGAGTTGTGGTGCAATGGATCGAAGCTTTTGTTTGTTTGTAGCTCGATAGTAGTTGCGATTCTTTTCAAACAGAATGGTTTAATTGCGTTTCGAAAATCTAATCAGGTTAAGTTTGATCGTATCCATATCGTATAGGTAATCGAGTGATTAGAAATTCAATTTTGTTAATTTTTAAAATCGAACGATTGTTTGAAAAATTTATATTACGAATGAAGGTATAAATTGGAAGTTTGATCGGATAATATACGATAATAAATGTAGTGGGAAGGTGAAATTAGGAGGGTTCGTTTGAAATATAGAACAAGAAACGGTAATTCCTATTATAATTGAACAGAGGATATATCAGAGGAAAGGATACTTTATTGTAATATCACACGGTTTAGTGTCGAATTATATCTCGACATAAATTTAACTATTTTACATATCGGACTATAATAAATAATCGTTCAATTACACTGTTATTTGTAAATCAAAAATCATGTCGTCTGTATGATATCGTTTATCGAAATTAAAGCGATAAATCGACATCGATTTGTGTATAATCATTTTCAAGAGAAAGAGTTCTCGCGTTGAAATATATTCATCTTCTCGTATCTTGTATCCTGAATATATTTCTGAATTTCATTCGTTCATCGAGACAGAATTTTCGATTTCGAAACGACGAGATAATTCATCGTCGTATCATCGATACAAATGATACAAATATATAATTTTTACAGAAGTAAAGAAAAATTTCACCAGCAACATTCTTGGGAAACGAATTAAACATTTCTCCAAATCCGTGACTACGCTTCATCGATTTGTCTCTGCACATTATCCATCGACATCGTTCTTTCTCCTTCGTTTCGCCATTCGTCTCCAGGATCTTTTTCGTTTAATTTACATCCGCTCAATCTTCTGGAAAAAGACTTTAAATGTGAGAGAAATCGTACGACTCTTCGAAGTTCTTCTTTTCTTCGTTTTAACGTTGTTTCGAGAAAAGATTAACCTCTTTCATTCGTAACGAATTCGTCCGCACGCGAATGAATGAACATTTCAATGATTCACCTTTGTTGAAATAAATATATCCTAGGTAGAATAACGCGTTCCATTGTTGCTTAATTCGTGCAGTTTCTTCGGTTGATTCTTAAAGAGAAACTGCTGGTGGCACGGATGGAACGTTCTTTGGCTCGATTATACGGAATATAGTTGGGCGAATATAGGAGATCAAAGAGGTTTAATATTGGATCGGTGGCATTTCGGTAATTAATAACGTGAGAATAAATAGACGATAAAAATTTTTCATTGTAAGAGAACCTAGGAGTTTTAATGGAAGAAGAAGTTGATGTTTTTTTCAATGGTAACGGAACGAAGTAAGTGTGAAAAGAAAGAAGGATCGCATTGGCAACGGGGTAACAAAGAGTGAAGTTTGGAATGAATTTTTGCAACGACTCGAATCACATCTATATATTGATAAAATCGTTCTCGATTCGATTCGTATCGTTTTTTATCCTGTCATTTATTAACGAAATAAAATTTATATACGTGCGAATAATTTCTCAAAAATTTTAATGATGCTGACCACAAAACAGTAGTTCATTTATCTAAATCTAAAGACATCGCACGAAAAACCAAACCTCTCCAAATCGATCGATGTTCGATTTTTCGAATCGCAATTACCTCTTATTATAACTGATAATATATTTGATGTTGTAATTACACGTGTATATTATCCGAGATATAACAAGTGTTGTGAATTGAAGCATGGAATATTGAAGATGTGATATTATAAAATGGTATTTCGCTTTAATTATAAACAAGTCGAAACATTAAAAATAG